TTCATCCAAAAATTAATAGATTTTATTCCTTTTTTGTACTGTTTTATAATTATTATGTTCACTTGTCTTCACATACATTTATTATTATTTTACTATCATTATTTTAGGAAAACATCGCTTTTGAAAGTATAGCAGGTATACTTTCAGGGAGTCACCATAATTCCTGGCTCTTGATGTTCATGACCTTGCATTATTGCTCCCTCATGGGCTGGGAATAACTTGCATATGACCAATGCAATATGGCAACAATGTCACTCTCATGATTAGATTACATCATCAAAACAGTTGTTGCTAACTTGCTCCATCGTTTTTTCTCTCCATTGCTGGCACTGAAATAACATACTTCCATGGATTCTGTAACTATAGCAAAATGTGATTCTGCCAGCAACCTCAGAAATTTTGGCAGTGGACCCATTCTTATTGGAGACTCTAGATAAGGACCCAATTCTTAAGACACCTTCACTGAAAGATGTACAGAATGCCCAGCTTAGCAGTGCATGTGTGTCTGACTTAAAGATATGATAAGACTATATATGTGCCATTTTTTAAGGTGCTGTTTCTCTTCTTCTCGGCTGTCAATTGATATAGATATTACAACTTTAATTATGCACCAATATAAAGCTTATTCTTTTTTCTCTTATTTTCTTTCTTTCTTTCAGATATTTATTACTTATCTGTTATGTAATTTATGCTTGTAAATGTAACTGTTATTAAAATATTTACAGCATTTTAAAATTTAAACATTGTATTGTTGATTTCTATTAACTTAATTTGTAAATATATTGAATATATTACTATTTTACTATTCTAATCATTTTATTCATTTTTTTCTACTCCTTTGAGCATATCAATATTAATTTATTTATGGTCACTGTGTTCTAACTCCCATATCTGGATCATTTGGGATTTTATTACTGTTATCTTTTATTAATTTTATAATCTTTTCTTTTAGCTTGTTGATTTGGGTGAAATACAAACATCTAAAAAAATTATTTTATGCTTCTAGTCAGTTGCTGTTCTCAATTATATCCAGAGAGGAATGAGGCTGATAACTTAATTCAAATTGCAGTTAGGTTTAATTCCTGTATATGTTTAGATAAGCTCAACCTATAATACCTCTCATTGGCAGGTGAGATATGTATATATATTTTAAAATGTTTATTTTAAAAATTGCAATTATTATTTATTTTTCTTAATGTGACTAGAGAGAGACAGAGAGAGAGAGAGAGCGAAAGTGAGAAAGCAATCCTCCTGGTTTGAGTCGTGAACCATGTCAGTCATGGGGGAGTCCAACGTAAGCATTTCAAAATGTAGACGTTCTCTTCTCAAACTCTTGTTCTAGCCATCTTCAAAATTTGTCAACTATCTTTAGAAGGAGACTGCTGGATCTGTGTAACTTTTTAGCCTCCAATTCCACTTACTTAGGAATTGGGCAATGGCCGTTAATGTTCAAAGTGTCCATTTGTTCAAAGTCCATCAATTTTCTGATTTTTTTACATCAATTTTGCTAGATTACAGTAGTTCTCTTAATGTCCTTGACCAACAGAAGCAGACTGCTACTAGGAACAAGTCCATATTCGTTTCTCTGACCAAAGTTCAGATACAGGCAACAGGTCACAGTGAAATACACCTGTAGCTATTGGTGTCATTTCTTGAAGTTTCTCTTCTTTGTGGAACATTAATCTCTCTGGTCTTATTGCTATGGCAGAAATCTGTTATCTGAAAAAGTAAAATGCTACCCTGTCCAACACTGGCTATTCTGAACTACTCACCTTATTTACTGCCAGGAAATGTCAGGCGTGCCACCAAAAATTTAGAAAAAAAAAAATCTGTATGTTCCTCATCAGTCATGCATGACTTAATAAAACTATTTTCTAAATTTTTTTCTCATATTCAAAATAAGTCACTTATTTCATTAAACCCTAAAAACTACATTATCATTTCTGCTGTTTATAAAGCTCATATGAATCAGATGCATTAATACATCAAAAGTGAAACACTTTTATTAATGTTTAAATGTCAGACATTTTCTTTTCTTTTTTGTAGAGATTTTTGCTATAGGGCACTTGTGCTCTCCAGAGAGACAGAAAGCGAGAAATCACCCATGAGGATAGCCACATTGCATTCTCCTTCATTCTCCTCTCATGATTTTGGGAATGCTGGCACACACATCCCAGATCCCAAGCTGCTGGGTCCGGGACTTGAACCGTGGCGACTATGTGGGAATCCAGAATTGTAATCACTAAGCCATCTACTGGTCCCAATTTTCTAAAATATAATTAATCTTTTATGAAAAATATCTTGTTATACACATATATTTCAATCAATAACTGATGCCACTTTCTGTAGAAAATATCTATCTTCAACTGATACTAATTCAATTTGTTTTTTCATCAACATCTATACATTTTAGCTATGATTCAGTTAGTAAAGAGTAAACATTAGTTTTATTATTTCTCTATCATTTTACATTATAATTAATGCGAGGATAAATCATCTCAGGATTAGAGGATATGTAGACATATCCTCTAAAAAGATTTCATTTAATTATGTTTTTATTATTAGTTACTTTATAAAAAGTCAGCTATATTATTGTTTCCCTGACCACCAGATTAGTATTTTAAAAAATGAGTAAACAAAAAAATCATGCTACAAAATTGTAGGGGATGGATAAAAAATGAAGATGTTTTACCTCATAAAAACATATATTATGAGTCTTTCTTTTTTTAGAGGTTTTTGCCTTAGGGTGTATGCACTCACTGAGGAGAAAAAGAAATAGAGAGGGAAAAAAAACAGAAATAGTGAGAGAGAAAGTCAGAAATCACCCCCCAGGGGGATGGTCATGCCACAATCCCTTCTTCTCCCAGGATCTTGGACACACATACACACATGTTCAGTGTGATTTTGAAGCCACTGGGTCCAGGTCTTGAACCCCACTCAGCCTTGTGGGAATACAGCCATGTAACCGCTATGTCATCAGCTGTTCCCAATTGAGTCAATTTTTAAATTACCAGTGAATAAGAAATTGTAGGCAATATTACTATTACATAAATGTCAGTGTTCTCATCTGGATTCTTCTCTTGGATGATGGAACAAAAGAGCTCCAAACTTTCTCCTTTTTTGGGTCAATCTATCAGAGACTTTGAAAAGCCTAAAGTTTCAAATATAACTTTTTAATCCCACTGCAGCTAGTAGACTTTATTTTAAAATGAACAATTTAGGTTTCCCTATAGATGTCATAACTAAACCTTAATTAACTTTGTTACTTTGTTTTGATTTTTAGTGTTAATGATAACAATATTAATTAGCATCTTCTCTACAAAAATCCCCTAGGCCCTATTTAGTCCTGAAAACATACCCTCTTTATTATTAAAGAACATAGGCCTACAATGATGTGGAAACACACCTTGTTATTCAGGAGAGAATGAAAAACTTTAGGTAGTGACCAGAATTCTTAAAAAAATGAATGAGCAAATAAAAAATTTTAAAATTTAGAAAATTATTCTACTTTCCAGATTTTAAGTTTAGTTGAACCCAGGCATTGTTTATTTTATTTGCAGAGAAACAAGCAAAAGGTGTTTGGAAGTGCCAAATGAACATTGGCTAGAGAGAAAGGGAGAGAGAGAGATTGAGAAATGTTTCTATTATTAAATGCCCATAGGTTTAGATGTGAACAGTGTCTTTGCTGAGGAGTGCAGATTCAAAGAATAAAGATGGGTTAACAAGAAAAATACATTTTTGGAAAAATCATATATTGCAGTTTTGGATAATGCAAAAAAAATTTCACAATACATCAGTGGATGAAACCCAGGTAGAATGTTTATAAAGTGAGTGTCTTCAGTATTTTGTTGTTTCGTGTACATAGGAACTGCTATATAATAAATTTTTTGAATGTGTTACCAAAAGTTTAAACCTATTAAATTTAGATATAGAGAAACAAATAAAATATTTGTATAACTCAGGATTAAGGTTTTAATGTACATATCTTAAAGGAGTGTCTATAAATGTATCTAATAGACAAGTACTATGAGCAGTACTTCTACTATTTTACATTTTTATTAGAAATGTTACTAGTATATATTTCTTAATATTTATTTAAAAATTTGTGGCAGTTATTTACCAAATTTAAAGTGTTTCTAGCTTTGATATAGTTAGTGCTGAGGTAGAAACTGACTGAACAATTTAGTAAATAAATTCCAAAGCAAATGTAAACTTTTCTGTTTTTAAAACATTTATCTATTTATTTGTTGTGACTTTCATGCTTCCAGGTCTGAGACTTGAACCATAGTCAGCAATTTGAGAATCTAGCACCTTAATGACCATGCCACCAGCTGGCCTGCACATGTGAATTTTTATTGTGATATTTACATATTGCTTGTGAGATTCTCATAGTACTAAAATTTATTCATGCTCTTTTCATTGAAAAAGTTTTATGCAGAAGAACTGAAGAACCCAAAAAATAACCAGAAATATATTATCAGTAAATAACAATTCATAAGAACAATTACATAAAATCAAGTCCATTTAACTCTTTTATATGGAGAAATATACAGAAAAAAATCTTTTAATAAGAACTGAATAGAAGATTTTGTTAACAATAGGTTAATCAAGGTATCTGAAAATATTTTTTGTGTAATTGCTAAGATAGCAAGAATCATATCAGTATAATGGATAAAATTTGAAACCAGATTACCTTCAAATACCGATAATATGAAACAATAAGTCATGATTTCCCAAAGTAAAAATGATCTGAAAAGAGAATTAAGAAAATAACTATCCAGAAAAAGAGATGCAAACAGGATTACTCTTTAGTTCTAACTGCTAGGTAAAATAGTCAAAACAGTAGAAGAGAAAAAAAGAGACAAGCATATGTGTTTTGATGGAGTGAGTTGATTGTTCATAACACTTTTTATAACCTATAACTCAGTGAAGCCTTTGCAAACATTCATTAATCATTTATTTTTTTCCCAGATCTAATGGAATTCAGAAGGAATTTAACCATGAATAACCATACCATGGTGACAACATTCATTCTTCTAGGACTGACGGATGATGCAAACTGGGAAATTGTGATTTTTCTTTTTCTGTTTGTCTTGTACTTATTGAGTGTCACTGCAAATCTCAGCATTATTCTGCTCACCCTGCTGGATTCCCACCTCAAAACACCCATGTATTTCTTCCTTCGAAATTTTTCCTTCTTAGAAGTCTCATGGACTTCTGTCTGCATCCCAAGATACCTGGTCAGCATAGCGACTATGGATAAAACCATCTCCTATGATGCTTGTGCTGCACAATTATTTTTTGTTATTTTCTTGAGTGTAGCTGAGTTTTTCCTGTTGGCTGCCATGTCCTATGACCGCTATGTGGCCATCTGCAAGCCCCTTCATTATGCTACAATTATGAGCAGCAGAGTTTGCAACCAGCTGGTTGTCGCCTCTTGATCAGCTGGTTTGTTAACCATCTCTCCTGGACTTCTCATGATCCTGGGATTGGAATTCTGTGATGCCAATGTCATTGACCATTTTGTCTGTGACTATTCTCCTGTCCTAAAACTCTCCTGCACAGACACAACAGTCATAGAATTGTTTAGTTTTATTTTCGCCATCTTCACACTCCTGGTTACACTGACACTGGTAATGTTCTCTTATGCAAATATCATCAGAACAATTCTGAAGATCCCTTCTGCCCAGCAGAGGAAGAAGGCTTTTTCTGCCTGTTCCTCCCACATGATTGTTGTCTCCATCTCTTATGGCAGCTGTATTTTTATGTATATTAAACCTTCTGCAGAGGAGAGGGTAGCTTTAAACAAGGGGGTAGCAGTACTCACCACTTCAATTGCTCCTGTATTAAATCCTTTTATTTATACCCTGAGAAATAAGCAAGTGAAACAAGCTCTGATAGATACAGTAAAAAGATGTATCTCTACCACTTTGAGAAAATAGCTTAAACTTTTATAAGAGAATATCACTAATGTTTCTTGAAAATTATAGCTTATATCAGCTACCCTTTTTATATTTTGGTATTTAATTATTCTGTTATAATACAATAACTTAAGTCATTCATAATATCAACTCAGTCTACTTCTGTATTTTTTATTCTTTTATTGGTATTATCTGTATCCCTGATGTTCTCTTGTTTTTTTTTTTTTTTTTTTTTTTTTTTGAGGGTTT